AGGAAGTGGCATAAGTATCTCTCCTGAGCCCACTTTTGTTCAGTGGTTCCATTAGTGACCTGGATAATGAAATAGCAAGGCTGCCTGTTAAATTTGCAGAAGATATAAGGCTGGGAGGGATTGCATGCACATAGGAGACAGAAGTAGAATTCAGATAGATCTTGATGAACTGGGAAATTGGTCTGGAAAAAGTTAGATAAAATTTAGCATGGGTAAATGCAAGAAAATGGGAACTATGAATAACCAACACCAGAAGTACTGGGTAGAGAGCAATTGGCTAGATACTTCAGAAGAGGATTTTGAGGTTATTGTGCATCCCAGGATGAGCATTAGCTGCCTCTATAATCCTATTGTGAAAAGCCAAATGAGATACCCTGGAATAGTTGAACACAGTTTTGGAAACTCTGTTTGAGGAAGCTATGGGCCATCATTAGACAGTCTGAAAGATAACAGCAGATATTATTAGAGAAACTGATAGGGAAAATGTGATTTCTGGACAATGTTGAAAGCATCAGGGTTATTTAGTTGTAAAAAGATAAGGTACCAGTGAGGAAAGGAATGAAAAAAACTTCATGTAGATTAAAGACTGGTGCCAAGATCAAGGTAATAATCTATTCTCCATGTTCCTAATGGACTGGAAAAGAAGCTGTGGGCAGGAAACTCCAGCTAGATTACAAGGAAAGATTTCTAACTCTAAGATTATTTAAGCAATGGAATAGTTTGTGCTGCCTAGGGAGTTGCAAGATCTTTTATTGTAAGTCTTCAAAATCAGGTTGGGAAAAACATGTTTGAAATTGTGGAGATACAGTCTATCACCAAGGTAGACTTGGGTGAACTCTCAGGGTCCTCCCAGCTCTGTTTTTAGATGATGCTATGGCCATATTTTCTACCTAAATTCATAGTGAGAGCACACTTGCCACTCTAGGCAGTATATATATATATGTACTTTTAATTTTCAAGGTGAGGCAGCCAATACACAGGTAAAGAGCTTGTATATGCTCTTACTTCACAACGCACACCACAAACCTGAGGTGCTTCTTGCTTTTCAATCATGTCCCTAAAGTCTCCATATGGCTTTCTCAGTTCACCTCCAAGTTTCCTGCAGCTTGCAGGGAATGAGGTGAATGAGATCTGCAGTGCACCTATCTTACATCAGAGGTTGTGTAGGACCAGTTGTAAGCAAGGTGTAGGTTTGAAGCTGTGTAGAACCAGTTGTAAGCAAGGTGCAGACTTGCCTTCACTAAATAATCTTCCAGCCCACAGAAGATTCTATTTGTTGCCTTAGCTGCCTGCATGGGAAACTCACTGATTGCTTGGACAAGTGTTAGAAATGTTTTGGTTTTTTTCTAAAGCTTCCTTTTGAATTTTTCCCAGGCTGGGTTAAAAAACCACAATAAACAAACCAACAAATGAAAGAAATGAACAAAACCAAAAGCCTGAGGATTCAGAGTTTATGCACATCACCTATTTAATTGTGTTTTAAAGGAGTCAGAAAAAGGAGATGGCACTTCAAAGCATACCAAGGAATGTACACCAATAGAGCTGAAGTTGCATCAGAGGAAAATGATGTTCTCTGCAGTGGCTGTTCCTCAGCATCTCTTGCTGTTGCCTGATTTGGGAAGTAGATTGACTGCAACCTGATAAAAAAGTACTTTGATTTCATGCTATTCATCACAGCCTTTGCTGGCCTTTTAGAGACTGGACCCTGTCTGTAGCATACCAAGGAATGTACACCAATAGAGCTGAAGTTGCATCAGAGGAAAATGATGTTCTCTGCAGTGGCTGTTCCTCAGCATCTCTTGCTGTTGCCTGATTTGGGAAGTAGATTGACTGCAACCTGATAAAAAAGTACTTTGATTTCATGCTATTCATCACAGCCTTTGCTGGCCTTTTAGAGACTGGACCCTGTCTGTGCTTCTTAGACAGTGAGCTAAAGACAGAAGAAAAATTAACCCATCATCTATATGCTGAATAAAAATAGCAGTTAGGAAAAAAAAATCCCTTGAGCCAGCATGTTGCTGCTAAGACAGAACAGCACTATATGTTTCATACTGGCACATGCACAGACCAATATGTGACAAGGTGACATTCCTTTAAAATATTTCTTATTTCAACTGTTTAATCTTCTCTTTGCTGACAAAGCTGCCTTTTTTTCTTCTTGTGCAATCAAAGTCTCTGGCATGTTAGTCTAATTGAAATGACAGGCAAAAGTTGAAAGTAAAATCGATTCTTTGTCACTGAAGCATCCCCAAGTGTTTAAAAGGAAATGTGAGCTGAGGAAACAGAAGATGTATGTTAACCACTTCAAAACCAAACTCTTTTGCTCGGGCAGTTTGCTTTAAGGAAATAAGAATCATGAATTTGGTGAAGTTATGTTTACTGATCAGTTAATAAATTAATTCCCTGAATAAATGATTTTACATGTGGAGTAGCTACAGATGCAAATGGGTGAGCAATGCTGGTACTCTGTGGGTGAAAGAAAGGAATTGAAGACAAGGCATTTTAAAGGCATTAGAGAGGTTAGTCCTGTGATTCCTTCTGTCTTTGGAGTTCCAGGGAGAGAGAGCTCCTCTGCTTTGAGACAATGTTACCTGCTCTTCTAGCTGACCATATTGCAGCCAGGTGAATTTTGGAGGGTTGCTTGTCTTTTCCAGTCCTCAGAGCTGGAGGGCTTAGTGCCAGGGTTGTATCTTCAAGGCTGAGGTTTTCCTTTGCTACAGAGCTGCTCATCTTATCCCACAGATAAGGCTTCAAACCAGGTTTCTCTGTGCTGTGTTTAGCAATTGTATACAGGGTGTGTGTCTGACTGTCCCTGCCTCAGCCCTGGCAGTGACTCAAACTGGAGATTGGCTGTATTAGGAGTGGCTTCCATATGTCCCTTTCATAAACCATGGGAGTCACAAGGAAAACACTGCCAATTTAACTAGACTGATGTTTGCTGGAACAAAAGCTAGCAATAAGGAATTCTGTGATGTTTAGCTGTTCCGAAAAGCTGTATCCATGTCCCATGTCAATAGGTGGTTTAGAAGTAACCTATGCTAGATAACTGCATTAATGAGTGTAGCCTAAGTGCCAGAAACAGCCTGGGCTGTTTGACTTTCAAATTAACCCTAGGAAATGCTGCCTCATGAATATTAAAATTCAGCCTCCTGTGCCATGATCAATACATTAATTTTTATGTATGACCTCACAAAGATCCAGCCTGTCAAGCTGCAGGCATTTGTCCAATATTCTTGTGTAAATGTCAAGACAGATGGATCTCAAAACCTGCTGCAATATTTCACATAATAATAGAAGTGTCTGGCTGCATTGACCTCTTCATATAAGAAGTGGGAACTCAGGCAAGTGCTTGCTAAATGGGACAAACTGACTTGGCATTTTGACAAGCAGAAGAGCAATGAGATTGGCTAGAAAATACAGCAAGGTTCACATTTGGGGTTGTGCTGAGCCTAGGTGGATGTTCACTGGAGCAAACCAGCCTCCCCAGGAAAGTTAGTCCCCATGGAAGAAATAGAATATGTTCTTGTAGAAGCCTTGGCATGGTCTCTGGGGGGAGTCAAGGTGACTGGCTCACATACAGATGTCTTCACTCTAGATTTCAGAAGTGAGATGACATGAACTCCCCTCTTCCCCTGGCTGCAGGAGATGCCAGCTCAAGAACAGAGAAGTGCAGTGACCCGTCCAGTAGCTGAAACTGCCTACCAGTTCACTCTGGAGAGGTGTTTAATGATATCTCAGAAATATTCCTTATTTATTTGGAATTCACTTTGAAGGACTGCATATTCCAATGCTTTCAGGTCAATGTGCCTTTTGAAATGCTAATCAGATGGATTTGGCCTTTACCACAAGCAGATATTTGTATATCAAAGAGATTCCATGCACACTTTCTGTCAGTCTGCACCAAGTTTAGATTACACTGATGCATTATTTTTAATGCTGATTCCTAGTAAAATCTTCTTTTTTCTACGTCATTAACGTTCTAATTATTTTTAGCTTAGTGTTAGTTACCCGTTACCACGCTCAGCATTGCACAGGGAAGTGAGTATTATTCATCCTAATGCTTCATTACCCCTCTATTTTTATGTACAAGCATCACAAAGCCCGTGTCAGAAATAAAAGTGGCTCTATTGAGCATTGCAAAGCTCTTCAGGGCTGAGGTTTCCCTTCTCCTCCACCAAGGAGTCAAGCTTCCTGCGGAGGAGGTGCTGAGGTGCACAAAGCCCACGTTCCCTTGAACAGGTTGCTTCAAGCAGGCTGGAAAAGCTCTCACCAACAAGCAAGTGCTGCAGAGCAGCTGGTTGGCTTCGCTGCAGCCTGCGGCCGAGGCACTTGAGTGACAGTGCAAGAATAGACTGAACTGGCATTTCTTCCAGCACTTGTCCTTCCCTGCTAATGCAGCTAACTGGCTGAGATGACCTTCAGCTGGGAGTCTTTGAATGGAAGTAATTCTGTGATTAAACAAAAGTGGACTTGGGGGAAGTTTGGGCAGTGTATCACAGAATACAATTTTCTTTCTTGGTTCTGTCCATTACTGAGGGAAGAAGCCACCAAACCCAGGATTAAGGAACACCAACGGTTCTAGGTGACCAAAGACATATCTTGAGTAGCAAACTCCAGATTTCACAGCAGATGCAGGACTGAATCCTCTGTTGGGAAAGTTTTGTGTTGAGCCAGATCTGTTTGTCAAAACTATTGATGGTAAAATGTAGCCGAATATGTTCACTTCAATTGTTTATCCAACCAGTGAAAGCAAACAGGCACATAAAAGTCCTAAACTGGATAAAACCAATCTGTAAACAAGACATAGGCCCAAATTCACTGAATAGAAATGGATTGCAACAAGTTATTGTGTCTGCTCTGTTTATTGCCATCTGCCATCTGTTTGGATCAATTGATACTCCCTCCAAGAACCCTGAAGTTCTGAGGCTTTGTAGCACTCAGCAGACTTTGTCCAAATGCTGTTTATTTTAGTCTGGAAACATTTGTCTCTCCCACCACAGGTAATCAGCGAGTTTGAAGCCTCTCCCGACTCATTTTCCTACAGAATCCCCAACCTGAGCCGGAATCGCCAGTACAGTGTGTGGGTGGTGGCAGTGACAGCTGCAGGAAGAGGCAACAGCAGTGAGATTATCACCGTGGAACCTCTTGCTAAAGGTACAGTGACTGAGCTGCTTGGTGCAACCCAGAGCTTTGCAATGCTAATTACTGGTATAATTGGCATGTGGCCTCTCTCTGCCCTCACTGCTTACTGGGAGTGGGATTTGTCAGGAACAACTCCAGTTCTCTCCAAAAGTGAGGAGATGACTGAACTAATTGCTCAAGCTTTTGCTGTAGTCAGCAGAGAGAGGATGATGTGCTCCTCTGGGGGGTAATTCATCCTACCTGCCTTAGAAGGGAATAGATTGCTTTTTGGAGCAATTGTTATCTCCTTTTGTGGGGTACAGAGGGTTTGCAGATGATCTCCCTCCCTCTTCTAAGCTGTTTCTCTCTTTTTTTCCTGCTGTACAAGGTAACTTCTTTATTATTCCTCTCCTTACGAATATCTCTTGTGTACTCCACAAGTGCCATCTTCTGTATAAAATGGTCTGATTAACATATCTAAACTCTGAACAATTGTTCCCTACTTGCATTAGCTTTGAAGTTTGCTGCTTCTATTTCAGACATGATGAAGGGATAATGTGCCTCAAAGCTTGCATATTTATTTCCAGCTGTATTAGTTGTTCTATTAAAAGATATTGCTGGGGCCTATGAATTCAGCTTTACCTGTGCTGCAAGATGTGATGCTTACAATATTATAGCACCTTAGCTTGAAAATGAGGACTTAACATTTTAGACAGCAAAGTGAGAAGAGTCCCATCATGCTCAATCTCTACATGGAGGTTTTCAGACTGATTTTTTTCCCACTCAGCTTGGTACCATCACAGCCTGTGCCAGCATGAGCAGAGTAATGCACAGATCCCTAGAGCTGCAAAATTAGATGCATTTAATTGACTTTACAGTTTTACAAGCTTGCTAATTCTTCACTTGTGTGTCTAATGATGTAGTAATGTAAAATAAAGTGTCTAGTGCTTTATGATGGCAGGTACTTGCTAAAAAAAGCTTTGCAGTACTTCAGCCAAATGCTACCAACATGAAAGTACTTTCTGCATGGAAGAGCATACACCATCACCATGGGAAATCTTGCTCTTGCTACCTGTGTAGGTGGTAGGTCACCAGTTTGATGATGGCAGATTAACTGCCAGAGCTATTATCCTGGGCTGCACCAAAAACACTGTGGGCAGCAGGTGAGGGAGGTGATTCTCCCCCTCTGCTATGTTGTGGTGAGATCCCACCTGCAGTGCTGCATCCAGGTCTGGGGTCCCCAGCACAGGAAGGACATGGACCTGCTGGAGCAAGTCCAGAGAAGACACCGAGATGGTTAGAGGTATGGAGCAGCTCTGCCGTGAGGAAAGGCTGAGAGAGTTGGGATTGTTCAGCCTGGAGAAGAGAAGGCTTTGAGGTGACCTAATTGGGACCTTCCAGTACCTGAAGGAGCCTACAAGAAAGATGGAGAGAGACTATTTACAAGGGCCTGGAGTGACAGGATAAGGGGCAATGGCTCTACACTGACAGAGAGTAGGGTGAGATCAGATATTAGGAAGAAATTCTTCCCTATGAGTGTGCTGAGGCACTGGCACAGGTTGCCCAGAGAAGCTGTGGAGATCCCTGGAGATGTTCAAAGTCTGGCTGGATGAGGCTTGGACCAACCTGGTCTAGTGGAAGGTGTCCCTGCCCATGGCAAAGGGTTGGAACTAGAGGATCTTTAAGGTCCCTTCCAATCCAGACCATTCTGGAATTCTATGGATGTCAGTGCTGATGTTTGGAGAGTACTGTTTGAACACATTGCATCTTCCCAATACCTGGAAGTTGCACACAAGGTTTCTCAGGCTTGTTGGGAACTTTCATGGATTTTCTTTGCTGCTTCTCTAGGCTAAAGTTTTTATCATATGACATGAATCATTTTCAGCATTGCTCTGAGAAGCATGTAATAACTATAGTGTTACTGTGGATCACTGTGGAAGGTTTATCAGTGTAAATACAGGGAGGGTCTAGCAAGGTAAATCAGGCTAAGCTGGCATAAGTAGGGACATGCTGCTCCCCACACCACTACTTAGAGGGTTTTTTTGTGTCAGCTGAGAAGAGTCACCTTCACTTTCTGCTTCTTTCTTGCACTTTTTGTACAATCTTTTAGAAGATCCTTTCCCTTAGTAGCTACACAGTGTTGGTGGAATGACCTGAATGGTGTTTGAAAGGCCATGAAAAGTCTGAAGGATCTGAAAATCTGGATCTTTTCCATTGTTGACTTTCTTGTAGAATAACTGCACCCTGCATTGTGAACATCAGTGAGACCAAACTTGAGATCTTTAAAGAGGGATGAGGAGTATAAAGGACATCAGTGAAGGAAGATTGTGAAAGAATACCTCAGGGAAACAGGGCAAAGGTTTCAGTATGCTCCTTCTTTTTGGCCTGCTGTCACTTGTGTGTAATGAATGTGTGGTGAAAATAAAAAAAAAGAAACAAAAATAGGCATAAAAATAAATGCTTGAATAAGAACAAAACTAATTAGACACCAACATGGTGCAATACTAATAGATTGAGCCTGCAGGCAAATGCAGCAGTGTGCAGGGACCCCTGGACTGCAAGTTCTAGGAGTTCTCTTTTTCCGTGCCTTATATATTTTAAAAGAGAGGGAGGTGTTCAAAGATAAAAGCAGATCAGTGCAGACTTTGCAGGTACCAAGATCCATAACCTCTAGTTATGAGGAGCTGCACTATGCAACTGCTCTCTGTATTTGCCAAAAAAACTGAGAAGTTGCAACTTGACCCACATGGACTTAAACTGATCCAGCTTACCCGAATTAATTCTGCTCCTCCAAAGCTTATGTAACATAATCCATGATGACAAATAAATGAACTTAAAAATAACTTTTATGAAAAGGCAAGATGACTCTAAAGAAGAATAATTAATTACTTCAATACAGGCAGGCCAGTCTGAACAAGGCTTTATTTCAAAGGACAGTAGAATGCATCCAGTCAACCTTTAGAGCTTGTAGTGATACTCCAATAGAAAGGCTGCATTAGATGGTGCTCAGGACAAGCCTCTTATATGCACTTAGGAGTAAGAAAGTGATGAATAATCCATTTGTGGGGGATTTGATGGACACTAAGGATACTGATAGATAGCAATTTTATGAACTTTATAGCTAGGTTAGAAATTATTGTATCATGTACAAGATTTCCTGTATGAATGCATCCCTGGCCTCTTTAGAGAGCTGGGAGAAAGTGGTGATCAGAGATAAGGGCAGAGGATGCACAATGAAGAAGGATGGGCAGAGCTATTAGCCTCAAAGACCTTTCTCACCCTCCACTATGTCTGAAGCAAAAAACACATCACAGGGTTAGATGCTGCTAGATCCTGATTTTGTCACAAGTCCCCAGTGCAAAAACATCCTGCAGGTCATTATTATGAAGTTGTTTGCTTCCTTTTTTTCTCCACTTGCTGCACAGTAACTGTCCAAGTAATGATACTATCATGACAGCTAATGAGAGTTAACTTTGAATTGAATTATGTCAACTTAATTATAACCCCTTTAAGAACTCCTTTGAGAACAATGAGAATGTCTAGATAGGGGTTTGATGTGAAATGGATAGTCCAATTTAAATGAAAGCTTAATTCAAGTTAACATTTCTTTCTTTCTTTAGTGATTCCATTTCTCAGAACAGATTGTTATTCTCTGTAATTAACTGACAAAAATCATCAAAAAACCCTCCAACAAACAGAAAATAATCATGGCAATGAAAGTTCAGCGTCCACGTAAGCAAGCTATGCCTCTGCCTCTCAAATTACCCTTCACTGCTGACTTGAAAGATGTGGGTTTAGCCTACCAAATACATCTAGAAGACATAAAGCTTTGCATGCACCTTGTTCCTCTTATTCACTGGCTCTGACTGATGGAGAATGGCATTTGTCAACAACATGACAATAACAGATCTAGACCCATGGCAATCTGATCCTCTGGGGAGAACTCACTGACTTTTTTGTTGAGTTTCCCCTGTTCTTTTAGACTACCCGAGCATAAATTTTGAACAGACTTTTCCCCTTTGTCTATGTTGCTTTGTGTGTTTAATGGTTTTAAACAACCTATGGGTCTTGTGTGATAGTACACACCCCCCATTCTTTAATGGTTCATCAGACTGGAATACACAGGATGTTAGAATCATAGAATGGTTTGGGGTTGGAAGGGACCTTAAAGACCTTAATTCCAACCCTCCTGCCATGGACAGGGGCACCTTCCACTAGATCAAGTTGCTCCAAGCCCCATCCAACCTGGCTTTGAACACTTCCAGGGATGGGGCAGCCACAGCTTCTCTGGCAATCTGTTCCAATGCTTCACTACCCTGTGAGAAACTAAATGAAAGAATGTCCTGACTTGAGGTATTCACTGATGGATCTTCTGTTTGTTTTAAACGGAGCTGCAGTGAACTGCCATAGCTCTTGTTTATTTTCCCTATACAGTTTGCCTTTAAAATGAAGTTGTGTGTACTAGAGAAAAACACAACTGTGTTGCACCTCTTGCAAAGAATTTCTGCCCATTTCTATTTCCATGACAATAAGTGCAGGTTATAGGATTCATGGTTTAAACAAAGAAACATACAGAAAACTGCATTAGCATAAGAAAGTGCACTGTTCTGTGAAGGCACCTCTTTATCTTCAATTAATGATCGAGTCATTTGCCGAAAATAGTAACAGGCACAGTCCTAATCCAGTGCCATGCCATCAAGTGTAAGGCTGGAGGGAAGTCTGTAGGCACGTGGGGAGCTTTGATAACAAGAGGTAAAACCTGCAGCTGAATTGCCCACAGGCTTCCTAAAGCTCCCTTGGCTCAAAAGGGAGAAGTCTGTGAGATTCCAAGCATTGTAACCTCATGAGTGCCTGTTAGAATTTCAAACCTATTGCTTGTAGATGAATTGAACTCGATATTTATTCTGTTTCTAGTTTTCTCTGTGTACCTTTCAGCAGTCTCAGAACATTATTAGAAGTTAAGCTATAAAGAAAATTGGAACTGAAAGTTTTGTGCTGTTTTGTCACCTATTTTAAAAGCATTCAGTACATGGAAGGAGGAAGATAATCCATAGAAAGCTGTGGATGATTTCACGAAAATAGTGCACTGTCCTTTTGTAATCAGCACTTCTGAGTTATGGTCTGTCACCTTACCACTGGCTTAGGCTTCTGTGAGGTTTATGTTACTTCCCCAAAACACTGTAAAATGGGGATGCAGTTGTTGAAAACCAGGAGTTCCAACATAAATGTTGATACTTCCAATGTCTGATATTCAAACTCTGACTTAAGGAAGATTTCATTTTGAAAGAACTATTAAAAGCAAAGGCATAGTGCAGACAGTTTGTTAACAGTGGTGCCATGTGATGCTGAAGGCTCCAGCAGGATTCCTGTATTCCACAAGCTTTGTCCTGCAGGAACTGGCAGCAGTTGAACATAGCTGGAAGCACTGAAGTGGTGGGAAGGCCAGGAAGAGAATGATTAATAGTTAATTTTAAAGGAGTTTTCAGGCTTCATGTTGCAGAGGGAATTTTGCATGGAAAAGGAATTTGAGCAGACCAGATGCTTACAGATGTGTTTTATAGGTAGAGCTGACAGCATCTCCTGCTGCTTTTGAAACTTGGCAAGAGTACAGTGAGGCACCTCCTGCAACAAAAACCTGGTGCCACTGAAGACAAATGAGCCTTCTAACACTGACTTCAGCCGAGTCAGCATTTCACTCTGGGTGCACTGAGCATTCTTCTGTTCGAGTTACTTTGGTTAATTAGCCCGTGGCTTGTGGCACTACAGGCTGGGGTAAATCTTTTCTAGAAGGTGTGTCCTTAGGAGTGGAAACTCATGCTGATTCATGAGACTTACTGACTGACCAGTGTCTCTGCATCACTCTGGTGTTTGACCTTCCCAAGACAGCACAGGCTGCAGCACTCTGCTGTCAGGGTTAAGCATCAGAGCTTTGGAAGGAGAGAGTGAAAGAACTTCAGCTGCTGTTTAGCCAGTATAGGACATGTTGATGCTTGGCTGTTAAGGAATTATGTTGTCCCATTACCTAACCTTCACCTTGTCTGTTAACTAGGTCTTTAAACAGAAAATTTGAGTGTTCAGTTAATATTTTGGCTAGAGAAAAACCAGTCAAGAAGCCTGGCCTTCAACAATGCCTGAAGAAAACACAGGCAATGTGGTCCAAACTGATCATATAATCTATGAAATCTTTTCCTTTTATGAATATCTCAAGTCCCATTGCAGCCTACTCAAGTAATTTTGCTTAATTTTTCAAGGCCTGTTCTTTTATGCATGATTATAATTATTTTTTTCCCCAAGATTAACTGTCCCAGTTAACAATCTGAGTTATGGGTCTCATTTTCATGTTTTTCTAATTGGTGCAAAATGGATTATTAAGTATAAATTCTGAGCAGTGTACGTGACTGAAGTAGATCAGGACTTTGCCAATCTGTATTCAGCATGTGCCTTTTAAAATGCATATTTAGAGGCATATAGCACAGTTCTGTTTCTATCAAGGGTCATTCCTGAATAAAAACAAATGAAGCTCTAACAGAACCCTAGTGTTCCTCTGTATTATAAACTGGAACTGCAGTAGTGATACTTTTGTTGATGTATTTAGGTGATCTGAGAGTTGACACAAATCAAACTGGCTTTGTTCATATTTGTGGACTTCAGACAGACTCTGAAATGCACTAACATGTGCATGCTTGAAGGATTATTTTGCTTAACACCAGAGCCCTTTTAGCAGTGGCAATAAAAATAATTTAGCTTTTATAAGATACCTGTGGACACTTCTTGCTGGAATTTTGCAGAGAAGCATCCCTTGGGTATAATTTCCATTCATAATTTCTACTATGAAATGTATAAAAGTCAGTCAAGAGGGGAAGTGACTGGGTTTGCTCTTTTTCTTTACAAGGACTCTTCCAATCTGTGCCTCATCTCTCTTTTAGTTACTTGCCTTCCAGATAACAAAACTGATATTTGTGCTGGAATAAACAGCTAATATTAGGAGTTAAGAGGAATTAGTGTCTTAAAAGCACCACTTGAAACAGCTTGGTTTGGTGTTCCACCTTTAATTCGGGATGTCTTTATTCCCCTTCCAAGGGCTGTGTGAAAGGACACCTCATTTCAGTCTTTCTTGCTCCTTCTCTCCCAGCTCCTGCCAGGATTTTGACGTTCAGCGGCACCGTGACCACCCCCTGGATGAAGGACATTGTTCTCCCTTGCAAAGCTGTGGGAGACCCAGCTCCAACAGTCAAATGGATGAAGGATAGGTAACCAGCAACTAAATGTATAACTCTCATAAAGTCCATTTACTTAAAATCCTGTGAGCTGTGATGTGGGTGATCCTGGATGACTTCAGGAAGGAGAGGGACCATTTGTAAGGACTTGCACATGGTCACAATGTAAGGAGTGTAAAAAGTCCTAAAATTGATTGGCTATGGTGATAGCAACGTATCAAAAGGGACAAAAAGTAATGAAGAATGTGTAAAGGTAAACATTCAAAATGTAAAACTGAGGAGTCTTTGTTTTTAACTTCAAGCAGACCAAAGAGTTTTATTCTATTTTGAGAAAGAAAAATCTCTGATACACAGATCTGTGCTGTGGAGTGCAGAGTACATGTCTTGCATGTATCTTATTTTCCATTAGTCTGCTTTGAACTTTCGTTCCACAGTTGGACAGAGTCACTTGGAAACACACAGGGACAGTAATCTTCATCCAAGCACTGTGTGAGCAGTGACAGTGCAGTGCTCTGAAACCATCTTATGCATTGACACATACAGCAATTCTTTTTATAAGGATGAACTTTGTAGCCAGGAACTGCCTTTTCTCTTCTTTTGGCACTTCTGTGAAATAGCAGGTAGTTAAGCAAGGAGTGAATCCCCATTTTCATTCAAATTGGGTGCAGGATATGTGCATTTTTTAAGCAAATGGAAGGTTTTCCCAAGAGAAAATATTCCCTTGCTGTCTGATTAAAGAGAACACACCACATCCCCCACCTCTTTTCCTTCTTTCCATTCTTAGTTGCTTCAAAAAAAAAATCCAATCCTGAGTAATCTTGATTGTAACTTCTTTAATGTATGCACTTTGTTTCCTGTGAGGTAGTAACGGGACACCCAGTCTAGTGATGATTGATGGGCGAAGAAGCATCTTTAGCAACGGCAGCTTTGTCATCAGGACTGTGAAAGCAGAAGACTCTGGATACTACAGTTGTGTGGCCAGTAACAACTGGGGATCAGATGAAATAATTTTGAATTTGCAGGTACAAGGTAAGACTATTGGATCTTTCTCATGACTGTTATCATGGCTATTAACTGCTACCTGCTGGCAATGATAGGTTTGTCCATTGGCAGGTGCATGTAAAATATTAGTGTTTCATCCTTCCAAATTAATAAATAAAATGTTATGCAGGTCATTCTGACTCAGCCATGAGCGTTTTATGACCTAACAAATGTTGCTTTTAGTGGAACAACTCACACTTGCTGTTAAGTCTCTATGTGAAGTTTTGTGGGATTGACAACTGAGTGTTGTCATTCAGTTATCTTCTGGTTCTCCACACAGAAAACACCAGTTTATGCCTTCTCTGTAGAAATACTACATGTATCATTTCAACATTACAAAATTCAGAAAGATGTGAAGACCTTTAGCTTTTGAAAAGATGCCAACAGAAATTTTCCTCCATACAGAGACCTTGGACAAAAACCTTGTGATGCAGGAGCAAAATTTTATTGATGGTGAATATGAGGCAACAGTTAAAATGAAACATCAGTATACCTTCAATTAATACATGTCACCAGATACTGTTTATATGTGTGTTGAAAAGCATAAAGTGTATCCACAATGGTGTTGATAAGTATAGAAGCAATGACAACATTGGAATACACACTAACAGTGCTGTGAAGCAGAGTCTGTGTATTCACAGACCAAAAATTCATTATTCAGTAGATTTCCTTGCTCAGTTCATAGAATCATAGATTTTAAGTGTTGGAATGGACCTTACAGATCATCTAGCCCCAACCCCCTGCCCTGGGCAGGGACACCTCCTCACTAGATCAGGTTGCTCAAGGCTCATCCAGCCTGGCCTTGAACACTGCCAGGGTCAGGGC